CGGGGCACCGGCAGCGATGCGGGCCGTGGTCCCGGTGGCCACTCCGAACGGCCTGCCTCTGCCGCCGCCACCACACAACACATTCCCCCTGCCCCGGACAGGCGGAGAGAGCGCCTGGGTGGGGGGCATGTGAGGCAGGGTGCAGGGCCAGAAGGAGAGGAGGGATGGAGGGAGGCAGGGAGGCAGGAGCCGGGAGCAGGCGCAAGAACAGGCTGACTAGATGGCTCCTCACCCCGCGGCAGTTGCCCTGGAGACCAGGGCTGTTTACTGGCCGGCCGGCCCGGCGCACGAGGTGGATGGAGTGGAGTTAACTGAGGGGGTTGGCGAGCAGAGGGAGTTACAGGAGAAGGAGACCTGAATGGGGGGGTTTCGTCTGCAGGGTCAAAATTATCAGAAGTAGGGGGTAGCGGAGGCGGTGAGGATGAAGGGGGGTTGGAAGCAAGGAGAACCTGGGAAGGAGAGCAGGTGAGACAGAGAGAGGGATTTGGGGCAAGCAGGCGGAAAGCCTCCACATATGGAATCTCTTTCCACTTTCTCAGGCGCTGGCAGTAATTAAAAAGGTCCTGGAGAATGTCGGGATCAAGTGTGCCCCCAGGGGGCCAGTTATTTTGGTTATCTAAAGGATAATAAGGCCAATCTTGTGTGTAAAATTTGGTGAGGAGTTTGGGTTTAATGTCAGGCTTGAGGGATAGGGTGGTGAGGTTGTTTAAGAGACATTGTAAGGGTGAATCACCCCGGAGGGAGGAGGCGGAAGCTCCCATTCCGAAGAGGATTAGAGAGAGAGAGAAGGTTTAAAAGGAGGATTAGAATGAGCCCTCCGGCCGGATGAGAATGACGGAACTCAGAGGGCGTCCCCAATGAGTCGTGCAGTTCCCAGGAGATGGGTTCAATGATGAACCCAGGAAGGAAGGGGGTGTAGGTCATCACCTAGACCCTCACTTCCCAGAGGCAAAAATGCAGGAAGCCAGAGGGACCTAGCGCGCTAGGGTTTTGATGGACGGCGGGGGTCCTGGACCTGGTAGGAGGAAGGTTAAAAGGAGTGAGAGAGAGAGGGATGGGAGGTTCAGCCTCTGGGGCCGGGAACATGTCAATGCCGGGGCTGGGGGAATGTGATTAGGGTGAAGGTTTAAATAATCTACAAACCTGACAAAAGGAAAAGGGGGCTTATCTAACGGATGAGCCAGTGGTGGGTGAAGGAAGTCAGAGCCAGAGAATATGGACGAGGGCGGACTGTCAGTCCCATGGGGGTCGTGGAGGGGTCCAAGGAAGTCCGAGGAAGGAGTCCCCTGGTGCAGGGTGAACTCCTCCCGGGTTTCGGCACCAATGAAAGGGCGCATGGACCTGGTGCAGGGTGAACTCCTCCCGGGTTTCGGCACCAATGAAAGGGCGCATGGACCTGAGCTGATAAGATGACAGGACCCAAGCTGACAGTTCAACAGAGAAGTTCCACTTTATTCAAGGACTGCACATACATTTATAGGGAGCTGCATTCCGGGTTTTGATAGGGGGTGGACGGGCGGTAGCTGATTGGACGGGGCTGGGCAGGAAGTGAGCCCTGACCTGTGACTGGTTGAGGTTTTGGCACTGGTGGGCTTTTACTGTGGAGAAGAACCCGGAAGGGTGCCATATTGCCAGAGAATGCTTTCCCCCTCCCCCTCCGCTGAGTGCCCACGGTATCCTTACAGTTTAAAAATATAACAGATTTTAAATGGAGCTTTATTTCCTCTCCCCTTGAGGGTGGGCTGGACTTAGTGACCTACTTCTAGACTGGAAAGGGAAAAATAGTGGAGAAACCTGTGAGACACTTCCTTAACAAAGTAATCAGGGTCACTATAACCAGCGAAAAGTCATGTTGGTATCACGTGCCCCCTGATAACACACAATGTGAAGGGCACATCTCCTCTGTGGCATTCTTCCTAAAATTCACAACCTTAGTTAAGTTGAGATAGGAGGTGCTCAGTTTCTCTGGGTTTGGGTTTCAGGACATCCCTCAGGTCTCAAACCACTCCGTAGGACTCAAGCCTCTCCTTTGAGTCCTGAGCTACTGTTGCTTGTTGCACCTATTTTCAGCACTAACATAGGATATTGAGACCGCAGGAGGCAGATTTATATAATTCCAGTGACCAAGCATGCTCAGTAAAAAGGAGTTTGTCCTTGAATGACCTTCCACTAGGGGAACCAGAGAGCACCGAGTATATTTCAAGTAATTTTCTGAGTCTGTTGGAGTTTGAGCAATGAGCATGCTCCAAAGAGACCAGCTGAGCATGTGTAAGGCTATATAACATAACCTGTTACATTACTGGAAACTGTTCCCTTTGTTGTATATTAATTAGATAGCATGAATATGTATAGAACAGCCAGCTATAAAGGTAGAATCCAAGGAGAAGGTAGGGCTCCTGCTGTTTCTGGAGCCAGCCTGCACTTAGCCTGTGAGGTGTGTATTTCTTGCTTTTTGTATTAAACCTGCCTCTAGCAGGCTGCGGGTCATTCTCTCCAGCTAGCCTGCGCTTCTGTTTGTGAAGTGTGTATTTCTCACTTTTGTATTAACCTTGCTGTGGCTGCTGCTCACTCTCTGGAGCCAGCCTGCATTTTTCCCTGTGAAGTCTGCATTTCTTATCCTTTACATTAAACCTGTTTTTGCTTTCTACTCCAACTCTGCTCTTGAATTCTTTCCTGTGGCAGAGTCAAGAACCTGCTATAGAACAGGGTGGGTTGACGTTGACTATGTGACCTCCCCAGACCCTCTCCTCTTGTATCAAAATCGAGAGATTACATTGGACAAACTCACATTCTTCAAAATATGTGAGTACTATTCTTCAAATATCTCAAGGTCATGAATAACAAGGTATGATTGTTACAAACTGGCTGAGACTAAGAAGACATGATGACTAAATATACTATGGAATCCTGAGTTGGAACAGAAAAAGGACATTAGTGGAAAAACTGGTGAAATCTGAATATACTCTGTAGCTTAGTAATTAGTATTGTACCCATGTTACTTTCATAGTTTTGATAAATGAACCACGGTTATACAAAATGCTACCATTAGTGGAATCTGGGTGAAAGGCATATGGGAACTATCTTCACCATTCTTCTATAAATCTGAAATTATTAAAAAATAAGGTTTAAAAAATGACATTGACCAAAAAAAGTTATGAAAATTTTTAAAATGAAAAGTTAGTCATAAAATAATATGCTCATATGATCATAGTGTACCAAAAATGTCAAGAGGATGTGCGCATTAAAAAAATGATTGTTTTGTTCTGGGTAAATAAAGTATGGTTGGGTCTGCAGATGAGAGTGTGCTTTCTTCAAGTTTTGTATATAAACATTTCTTACATATAAACGATTTTTTTGTTGTTGTTATTATTGTTTAACACTAAATTGCTGGCTTGTCTTTTTCCTCATTCCGGAGAATAATCAGGCTGGTCAGAGATGTTATCTTAATTTCTAGAATTTCAGATGAACCTATCGTCCACGTTCTTAAATGAAATCCAAGCACACCTTTTCTTCAGTCTTGAAAGGCACACTGGTTTGATCCTCAACTTCTGGATTTCTAGAATTTCAGATGAACCTATCGTCCACGTTCTTAAATGAAATCCAAGCACACCTTTTTTTCAGTCTTGAAAGGCACACTGGTTTGATCCTCAACTTCTGGGGAACTGGCAGAATCGCGGCTCCAGGCAGGAGTGAGTAACTGAGATACAATTTCTCAACACACTAAACAAGGCAGAAAAATAAAATAAAAAGAAAAGGGGGCGGGAATTTAACAAAAATAAACAAGGCAGAAACTCTCCCCTAGGTTTCTTGAGGCGCTAGCATGGGGTATACTGGAAGGGGAATCCTGAGGAATGTGAGGAACTATTTATGCTCCAGACACCGTTCTAATGTCTTCTGCAATACAAACGCCTTCAATTCTCACAAAAAACCGTTGCACGCTAAGGACCCCCACTAGCCTCATTTACAAACGCGGACGCTTCCGAGGCGTGGGGGCTCCGCCCGGAGGGTACAGCCCCACCCAGCCCGGCGCGGCGCGACGCCGCTCCCTCTCCCCTCCGCGCATGTGCAGCCGCCTTCCCCTCTGGCTTGTCCTTCCAGGCCTCAGGTCCACGCTGCGGGGGAGCGGCGGGTGAGGGTTGTGCGAGGCACCCCGCGCGGCTCGGCGGGCGGGCGGGCAGCC